GAAGTCAGATGCTGGTCGTTGGTTGGGGAAGACAGAGGTCTTGAGCTGCCGTTTTTCGGGGCCGAAGGGTTTTTCTTTGGGTTTGCCCCAATCTCCAATACTCCAATCCATCTAGAGTTGGGGAACAGAAATAATACGCTAAGAATCAAATAAAAGATACGTATAGATGCAACGGTCAAATCTTTCGCCGCTTCTCTCCTTGCATCGTTTTTTAAGCTTCCACAAGTGAGTTGCTGTACCCGGATCCAAGCTGGATGGTTTGGTTTGGATGCGTCATACCAAAGGGGAGGGGGCATCCCTCTCACGAGATTTGGTCCATGAATCGCATGTGCCGCATGTACCGTAATACCTGGACCCGTGGATGAAGACATTGGGCAATCAAGAGATCAAGACAAATAAGAGGTATAAGCAGGAGGAAGCTGATACAAGACAGACAGATAAGTAGAAATCTATAATAGTTATCAGGAGGAAGTGCTCCATTCTCCTGGGCTTGACAGCAGCCCGGGAGTTCGCAGTCCCCAAGAGCAGTCTTGTTTTTGTTCGCATGGAGGATGGAGAAATCCGTCCGACTGACTGACCTTCGCCCGTCACCGTCACCGTCACCCGTCACCGCAACCCGGAACCGTTCTCGGAGGAGGCCGACCGTCTTGGGATTCCTTGGGCCCCTTCAATCTGCCAAAAGGTGGGAGGTCCAGATAGGTCGTGTGCTCTTACCCTTTCCTTCTTGAAACTGCTCTTACAGTACGCCAAGAGCGGCCCCAGATCCAAAAAGCTGAGGGCCTAGGTGTGACCAGGAATTTAGGTCCGTTTAGTGCAGTGCATATTGATTCTGTTGCATTGCTTGCATTTCGAGGCCCGGGAGGTAAGATCCTACAGCTTCACACCCTCGTTAAACAGCGATACGCAGCTCAAGGCCGGATTGGGGGGTTGAGCTGGCTAAGGCTTGAGCCCAAGAAGCTGTTGAACAGGGTGCGGTAATTGGGTTGACTGCTTTGAACAGTTTGACATAGCGGTTGGGTTGTACTTTGGCGGGGTTCTAGGAGAATTTACTCAGGGGGGTTCTAGTTGAAAGCTCTCTTTAGTCCAGGCTCAGGAATTGAGGCCAATTTGGACGTCCCAGCGGCATTTCCCAAGGAAGTTCAGTCCATCCGGTCCACCAGAGCGGGCAGTCCATCGGGCAGGGTCCCCAAAAGACGATATATAGTGCAGCAGCGCAGCACAGGCCATTTCACAGGTGTTTCATTGTTGATCTTGTTGATTGGACTGACCCCACTGCCACTGGTTCGTTGACACGGCCCGTATCGAACACGCGACTTGGGAGCTGCACCCAACTATCGATGGAAGAGAAACTAAAAGGCTGCATGTATATGCCCTATGCTTCCAACAAGCATTGATTTCATGTTTTTCACCGAACAGCCATTGTTTTACTAAGGAATTTGCACTAACTACAACAACCTTTATTTCAAAGGTCTTGGAAGGCTAATTAGGGTATATATGGCTGCGCCAAAAGGAGCAGGTTGGATGGATCTCTTTTCTCATTTGGCATCTTGGACATGCCCAAATCCCTATAATTACCTCAGCTTCTCGCGAACAGCGCTACTCTTCCCCGAACGAACTCAGAGCAATTTTCAGCCTAACCTGCAGCTCCAGGTTGGAGTGGTTTTGAGAACCACTGACCACGACGTGGATGCGATGTGACAGGGGGCACCCCCACTTGACAAACGTCACGAACGTCCCAAACTAATTACGACACATGGAACCGGCATGGCGCCTACGCACAAAACACTTAATCCAAACTTCTCCTAGTGACCGAACGTTGACTCCATATGCAAGTGAAAGCCAGTGGTCCGTACAAGCAAGCAAAACTGCCAGATTGCTGGATTCGGCCTACACGGCTTTCTTGCCTTGAAACCCACCCCTTGAGAAGTGTCCATTTCGATTCTGCTTGCTCTTGCTTTGGCTGCAGTACTATTTAGAGGCTCCTTCTAGGCTTTCACACCTTGAGCTCTCAGGCTCCAATTATATATCAGACTTGGCTGTGCGTCAATTCACACCAGCGACCTCCGGAACAAAAAATGGTCCGGAACAACAGTAGGCTCCATCTTCTTCGGATCTCTTGGACATAAAGACACCTACCAGGACCTTTAAAGTGACCTTTTGAGATCCTAGAATGAGGTCACAGTCCCTAAAGAGGTCACTTACAGACTCCAAAGAGGTCACTTTGAAGGTCCTGGAAATGGTAAAAAGGAGAAACAACACTCAGTCGTCTTGGGCCCCCTCAGAACAGCCTCCCGAGGCACGGGGCACCAGGAGGGTGGTTTTTGTTTTGTTATTAGTTTTTTACCGATGCAGCTAACGGGCGCCAGGAGCGGCGCTTTGGGCTGAAACGTGCGCAGACCTTGGGCACCGGCGTGGCCTTTGAGCAGAAGGTGGAAGAGCGCATGGACCGTGACCATTGGGCGACGCCTGGACGAGCGACGAGCGGAGCCGGGCCCACCGAATGGGTGGTGGTTTGGAAGGGGAAGAGGAGGAAAGGCCGAATGGAAGTCGGGCCGAATGTTTTCGGACTTCATTGGTGCCTTCGTTATCCTTCGTTCTATAAGTGCTATATATTATATGGCCCATGTGGGATTCATAAAAGCTTGAAGTATGTTTGAACATGTTCCAATGAATGAATCCATCAACCCAAAAGGCCGTCATGGACTCTGTTTGCTGTGCGGTCGCTGTGTTTTCCGAAGGAATCAAAAGGGAGGTGACGATTGCCAGGGATCCACAGCTTTCACAGGGACAGTTTTTTGTTTGCATTGCCTGTTTTTTTCATATGGAATATCCCCAGTCGTGAAGCAGCAAGTTCAGTACATGGTACCTGGTACCATGCACTGACCTCTCTATTCCTCACTTCACCTGGGCAAACCCCAAAACGCCCCGGCTCAGGATGCACGCGGACATCTTCGACGAGAAGTCTCGACCAGGTTTGCCTGCAATGCCTCATGTGGATGAGAAGATGCCACATCGGGGCTTGGTGGACCAGTTCGAGGCGCCGAGACCGGTGTTTCTTTTTTTTATCATAACATATCCAACGAGAGGGGTCCAATAGGGCTCCAACTATAGCTCCGTCTCGAAAGTGGTTGGGGTATGTTGGTGTATGTGTCAGTCCCTACTACGACAGTCGACTTGGTGCCGGAGTTTTTCGGCAGATGATTTGGATGTATAGACTCCCTGAAGTAGTCATGGTTATGTGGATGGCACCACCTGCTTTGTAGAGGAAAGCGGTCATCCAAAGGGCGATGGTCCACTTCGATTAATTTCAGGGAGTGTACCCTGCACTCACTCGCAAGTTTGTTTCCAATTATATAACTACTCGTGTGTTGATTGGGCTTGGCACACCTTTTTGATTCATCCAATAGATGAGAGGGAAACGAGAGAGATTGGCTGGGGATTTTTACCCTAGCATTAATGATTTGACTTGATTGGCTCTTGGAAACCTTTTACTGTGGTGGATCAGTGAAAACATGACCGGCCAATGACCTGAAGGACAACCCCCAGAATCCCTCAAAGAGTCTTTGTATCGATAACTAGCTTAGCCCGATCGGATGAAAAGGCTGTATGTGTGAGCCTGGTATTTACTACGTTCAGACGATGTCAAGACATTCACTCTACCTCTTCCACCGGTTTGCAGCACAGCTGACCTTCTTGAGCACAACATCCGACAGATTTGGATTCACACACTGTTGCATGGCAACCTCACTGGAGTATATGGCCATTGCATGCCCTTGCCACATATCCATACATATTCATACATTTATATACACCCTGCATCACCCTCTTCGTTATGGACACCACTGCCATTACGATCATTACGGCACCACCACCATCTCTCCCACCGGATGCGGGCACTGTCGAACCCCAGGCGGTGGGGACGTTCCGGCCTCAAGCAGAGACCTTGACCCTCAGGGACTTGGCATCCAAAGGCACCGGAAGAAGCCGTTCGAGCCGGCGTGCATGGTGCATGCATGGGTGTGTGGAAAGAAGGGGTCTTCCACTTCCATTGGAAAGTTGTAGTTATATTGTGGCTCTGTGGAAATTTAGAGAATCCATTCTCCATTTGTGGCATGACGGGACGCCCAAACAGAAGCTCATCCGGTATGAGTCTCTTCATGTTGGTGGTCCTCCAGGGTCCTCTGCTCGCACTCTCACCTGTCCCACCTCCATGGGTTTGGCGCATTGGCATTAGCAGCTACGAACGGGGCTCCTGGCATCGCTACGAACGGAGCAAGTGCATCGCTACGAACGGGGCTCCTGGCCTTACTACTATAGGAGCAAGAAGCTACATCACCAGCCTGTTGGCCTTTCACCATCCTTTCAGAAACCGCCCAGGCCTTCTTCTTAATCCTTAAGCCGCGTTTCTTCGGAGCCGTGAGAACATCGAGTCGTCAGCAGGCCTTTTCGCGGACACTTCCATGGGTGATCGGCTACTGAAAGCCTTCACAGCCACACGGTGATCGATGAGGATCGGTGAAGGGAGATGGTCTTTTTGGGGAATCTCTAGAGGATCTGGATCCTTTGGTTCACTTGATATGATGTGATATCAGACCGACACAAGTAGCATTTGTTTGAATATGTTTTTAATTAACAGGGTCATGTCACGTCCCATGTTCGGTAGGAACTGCCAGGTGGGAGGCCATGAAAATCTCAGAGAGGAAGAATCACTGGTTCAACGGTTCAACCATGTTCGACCTATGACCTCTTGGGCAACCCGTGTTTTTCACGCACAGATCCCGCTCCGGCGGGTCGATGTGAAGAGGATATGTCTTCACCCCCGACCGCTCCGTGGGCACCACGCGCCACGTGGCGAGTCCCACGTCCTTCAAGGCGTTGCCGAGTATTATTCAATGCGTTCCATGAGCTTGAAGGAGGTTGATCCATCATGGTCTATCCATGGGATCGTTGCTCCCCACCTTCCAGATTCTTCGCCAGACCGTCGGTGCGCCAGACCGCTCGCGCGGTGGAATCCTAGGCGATCACTGGAATTGAAACCAGGCGAGATCTGGGATGTTCCATGCATGGTGATCTGGGATTCTTGTGGCCATTCGTGGCCGGTTTACTTGGCCGGAAGAGCAGTGTTAAGGAAAACGCTTTGAGCTTGATCAAGCTGGGAATTTGCAGAATGGTGACCCTGACCTTTGGTCGAATCATGTTGAATCATGTGAGTGGTCCATTTTGAAGTGGTTCAAAAAGTTGAAGCACTACGCTTCACTCCTGGAATGAAACATATGCAAAAGCTTGGGATGGTTAATGGATTGTGCCATTCACCGATTCATCAACAGAATGCTTCGCAGATATATTTTCCTTAGCTTGTTTTAAGGTCCCAGTCCGGGAGCTCGTTTTTCGGTCTCTCCCGGACGGGCTCCAGCATCCCACAGCGACTTCGACCACCGGTCGGCAGGAATCCGGTCACACCGGGTCACAGCGCAACGTGCAAAGTCATGGTCCCTACAGTAACACAGAAATTTGTTGGTTGGTTGGTTGGAGGCCATCGCTAGTAGGTTTGGAGGCCATCACTTCTAGTTTGCAAGTCATGGTGTTTCTTTTATCAATGCGGGAACAGACATCTTTATCCGGGTGCAATAGGTCGATTGCTCTGTTTGTAGGCCTGGTCCAGACTTGTGGCAGCTGCCGGTGGATGAAGCCCTTGATGGATATGAAAGGCAGCTCCAGGCAGGATTGTTGACAGGTGTTGAGATATTTCCAAAAAGAGTTCAGGCTGACGCTACTAGGGCGCACACCAGCTGGGAAACCTTCATCACGCACATTGAATATGCATCGATTGGTTTGGGGAATTGATGTGTTAGTTCAACTTACTGTAGTTCGATGTGTTTTTTTGGGCTGGTCAAGGTTGGTTTGCTTTTCAGGGTCTTTCAAATGGAATCGACCCATACCTGATCGCGTTGATGGATTGGCATCTAACGAAGATCTGTCGAGAACACGTGACTATGAAGTCCAGCGTTGCTTCTTGTTTCGTCCACAACCCCCATGTTCCAATTTGGCCATGCTCCGGACCCTCCCTCACCCAAAGAATTGATGGCTATTGATTGCTTATTTGACGTCCGTGAGACGAAAGTAGGGTGGCTGAGGGTGGGATCCAAAGGAATCCCTAGCTTTGGAGCCCATGGGCTCCCTTTTGAACACATTTCCCTACTAAGCACCAGTCAGTTATGTGAGGTCCAAACAACACGTCCTTCGTCCCTCCATTTCGGCACGTCCTTCGTCCGCACCCAAGAGCGGCCAAAGCTCGCCGAGCTCAATGGAGGTGGCGCAAGCGAATCAGAGGAGTGACGATGCGGACGAGGAGATGGTTCCTGGGTATGCAAGGGCTCTGAAGGTTCGCAGAGAAGAGAGAAGAGCGCGCGAAATTGGAGAACTCTCGAAAATGGGAATGAGTACTCACTGGTCCTCCAACGGAAGCCCTTTGACTCCCCGAAAGGCCCAACGGAAGGAGAGGAGACAGCCATGGGAAGCCCGATGGCAGCGAGGCATCGGTCCACGCCTCCGGTGTGGGGGCCCCGAGGAACTCGAACTGGAGGATTCGGAGGATGAGAACATCCAAAGTGATCGTTCATGAGAGGATGGATGTGGCCAAGATCGATGGTGATGTGGCGATCCGGGTGTTGGAGCGAACAAACATGTAATATGGGGGTTTGTAGAGAAGCCAAGCAACATTGAGTGATTGGAACAATCCCCCATCCATGTATGGAATACACTCCCTAAAACCATCATGGAAGTAGAACCCATTTGCTTGTAGAGGACCATGGGCATCCAAAATCGGGCCATGTTTTACTTCGATTTCAGGGGGGTAGTTACCTACAGTACCACATTATGGTCATGAGTGGGTATATAAATATAGTGGTATATACCAGGACCCTCCTGTCGGGGTGTCTATTTATAGCCCCTTGGCTGTGATTCGGGGTGTAACCACCCCGACTGGGGGTCCTGGTATAAGTGCAAGTAGTAAGTGCAATACATCGATCGTTTAGGATTCTTATGGATTCTTTGTTGTGGATGTGGATGTGAATTCCGCCTATCCATGGCAGGGAAGTTGTACCGTGTTTTTCCAAAAACTGGTTTGGTAGGATTGTGTGGTTTCCCGTGGTGGGTCTTCTGATTGTAGCAGTGACGTTTACATATTTTCCCCCAACATTCTCAGACTCTCAGGCATACGAGATCAACACTTGGTCATCCTGGAGCAACTACTTTGTTCACCCGATCTCATCCGCCTATGCCTCCCTCAAAAGTGTGATGATTGCATCCGACACAACTAATATACTGCAGATGGTGGATCGTCCATAGACCAACCAAACGGGAAGTTTCAGGATGTGCTGGTTTGGCCATGCCTATCACTTGGGGTAGGCAGATAGGCATGGTAGGGCAAGAGTTGTTTGAAGTCCACAGCCAGAGATTTGACCCAGTCTGTGCAGAGTTCGGAGGACTTTAGCTTTGGCGCCTAAGTGTGGTGTCAGATGGAGGGGTGTGCGGCTGTCGGGTCAATTATAGCAGGGTACGAAGGGTGCCTATTGGGAGTAAGCGTCATTTGCAATTTTATTGCCGAAGGGGGGGTGTATCCACAACAGACACTTCAGGAACCACAACAACAACAGGTCTTCCCCGACAGGGGATTTTGGTACCCTCGACTAATCTAGTTCTGGTACCCTCGTCGGGGTGGTAAAACCATGGTTTTAGTCGGGACTACAACCCCCTCTCTTCTATTGCCAGGAGGAGGGCACCAAGTGCACCGACTGGGCTGCTCACCAAAAGGAGTTGGTGTAATTATATGTATATGAGCGTCGTTCAAAAACCCACCTCTTCCTTGTTAGTAATCGAATTTCAAAGGCTGATTTCGATTGTGCTCTCACTGCAGTCGCGAAAGGTTCGCGAAGGTCCTGCGAAAGGTCTGCGCAAGTCATGTTGGTGACCTGGCCACGCTGCAAGAACAATTGCTCTTCAGATTTCCGATTGCTTTTTCCCGGGTTGGGAAAAAGCAAATTGGAAATCTGAACCATTTTGCTTTTTCCCGGCCCGGGAAAAAGCAAATTGGAAGTCTGAGCCTTTTGCTTTTTCCAGGCCTGGGAAAAACGAAATTGGAAGTCCGAACCATTTTGCTTTTTCCCGGCCCGGGAAAAAGCAAATTGGAAGTCTGAGCATACTGGCCTGACTGAGCCATCTCTTGTTCATGGAGGGCTGCGCCCAACCAAAAACACACCAAAATGAAAATGGCTTGGTTGGAAGTCTTGACCATTTTGCTTTTTCCTGGCCGGGGAAAAAGCTAATTGAAAGTCTAGACCATTTTACTTTTTCCCGGGCCGGGAAAAAGCAAATTGGAAGTCTGAGCAAACTGGCCTGACTGAGCCGTCTCTTGTTCATGGAGGGTTGCGCCCAACCAAAAACACACCAAAATGAAAATGGCTTGGTTGAAAGTCTAGACCATTTTGCTTTTTCCCGGGCCCGGCAAAAGCAAATTGGAAGTCTGAGCAAACTGGCCTGACTGAGCCGTCTCTTGTTCATGGAGGGTTGGGCCCAACCAAAGACACAGCAAAATGAAAATGGCTTGGTTGGAAGTCTTGACCAATTTGCTTTTTCCCAGCCCGGGAAAAAGCAAATTGAACGTGTAGACCATTTTGCTTTTCGCCGGGCCGGGAAAAAGCAAATTGAAAGTCTGAGTCAAATTGGGAAAAAGCAGTTTGTATCAGGTTTACAAACTAATTTCCAGGAGCTGTGGCCTAACGGATCAGGCATCAGAATCAGAAGCAGAAGGTTTTGGGCTCGAATCTCCCCAGTTGCAAATTATTTCTCCAAAGTGCT